GGTCCTGTACTGTGTCAATTTGACCAATCGTGATAGATAAATGGTATCAACTTTCATTGGTTGATGGGGCGACTGTGAGGTTATAGGATTATTGTATTGGAGACAGGAGAGGGGTCGCTGACAGACACTTGGTTAGATTGCAGCTTGTGAAAGCCGCCAGATCTGCTGGTTCGTTAGGAACTTGAACACTGAGTAAAGATTTAACGAGATTGCATCGGATGATTTAGTTTTTGTTATCTCATATATGATTGTCCTTTGAAATTAAATTGTTCAGATTTATAATTACAAGAACAGTAATGATTTGAAGATGAAGACTGATCCACAAGTTGCTTTTAGTTCCAAAATTCGATTTTGACATTATCCCAGTTATCGACAATTCTAATGAAAACACACAAGCTTGTTCATGGGCTGTTCTATCCTAAAACATTCAAAGTACAAGTGAAAAACTAGACCTTTACAGATTATATAATTCAGAAATCTTACCTATATATTATGCTTCTTTTTTTCAAAGTTTATGTTATATGGAGGAAAATAGAGATAATTGAATATTTCTATTACTTATGAGATTAAACTCCTTACAAGTTCTATAGCTCATGGCTGTTCATGATATTAGATCCACTGCCAGTGTAATTAGAAACCATATTTTGTAATGGTTCTTCTACACCACCACCTTACAGGCTATAACAGTCAAATTGAATCCTGATATGGAGATTCAGCACTCAGATTCAATTCTGAAGTTGTACAGACAACAAAGGGCATTCCCAACAAATATATGTGAATAAAAAAACAAGCATTTTATTGTTAAAAAACAACCACTTGTGACCTGGTACAAAAATAGAGTATATATATGTGGTGAAGAGTGAGTGAGTGAGTGAGTGAGTGAGTGTGTGTGTGTGTGTTGGGTTTAATGCCGGTTTTAACATAGTATTCCAGTTATATCACGGTGTGTCAGCTTAATGTGGGAGGATAGCCCGAACTGATGCAAGTCTCAGATGTTTACCTCTTCGGTGAAACCCAAGAGCACGGGTATGGTGCTGACAAACCTAGAAACATAATCGGGGCGAACCGTGATTCGAACCCACAATCATAGGTTTCTGGCGTGCCCAAGAGACGCAACTCTGCACAGCAAATCGCGGTGCCTTAGACGACTGTTATACACAACATAAATGCCTGAAAACATGGTGGAAATGGAAATACAGGTTATGGAACCCTATCCATATGTATGATTTATACAAGTTTTTAAAGTTACTGGCAACGTTCATCAGAGTATATTTAGGAGATAACGGTATCTGATCATGCTTTATGCACAGATTATAATGGCAGATGCAGACTTCTCCAACTCGGTCCCTTATGCTGGTTTTAGCTAAAACAGGAGAAATACAGTCCTGGCAACATATATGTGAAGACTTCATTAAATGTGACAAACAGCTGAGCTAAAATAATTGTTAAATTACAACAGCAAATGGTATCTTACATAGATACCTGCTCAAGACTATATGTTACAGAGCATTTGATATTAAGGATCTGATATATCATGATTAAACCAATTGTTAAACTGGGTGATTATGTCTGCCTCCAGCACTGGCTGCAGAGCTTGTCAAGGCACGTGCTATGAGTACAACAGTGTGATGGAATTCAGGAGACTATTACCAAGCTCTTCAGTAACTGTTCCACTACTGAAGCAACCAGGGTATAATCCTGTTAGTGCTCTACAACCACAGGGGATGAGAGTGGTCTTGATAGTAATTACTCTGCTTGGTCAGCAGTGGATGACCTCTACAGTAGGCTGACCACCCCTTTAAGTGGATATAAAACTGTAATTGCCAAGGTCTAGCAGTGATTGTATTGAAGTCTGGAACAGATTCACTGTATCTTGTGTTAGAGCTCTGTTGTGAAATGATTTACAGTTTTCTTATCTTCTATTCCTTTTTCGTAATGATAAATAATTTTATTTTGATGAATATATCCAGTGTGGTTTCTGTTGGCCTCCAGGACATAGTGTAACTTATTTTAAAAACCCCAGAAGATTTACACTTCCTATTACTCAATATAATAATTATGACTACATAACTTATGTCAAAATCAGAGAAAACAACATAATTTTTATTTAGAAAAATTAATATAATTTCATAAATCAAGAAATGACAATCTATTCATGCACACTCAATGACATCAATCGTTGACCACACATCTGGACAAGGGGCCTGAATGTCAGTAGTGCATAGGGATGGTCAGGGATGTCCTGGGGATAGTGACCAACTGAGGTCATGCCCTCTGGTGTTTGCCTCCACATCAGGTCCCCCACCAACTGGTGTCCATTATGACGGAGATACCCTCCTATCATTACAAAGATCCACACAGAATCGGCCAAATTCTGCCCCTTGTTGCAAACCAAACTTCAACACCTTTTGAAAACTGAACACGTGCAGTACATTGCTGATATAGAATGTGTGTATCCTGTACCCAGGCCCCCAGGCTGTGTGTTTAGTCCTTGGCTGCCACCTTTGGTTGGAGTCAACATTTCCATAAACATTGACTATGGTAATTTGTAGTGTTTGGAGTAAATTCAACAATTCAATGAATTGAATCCATTTTGTCAATTCTACTCTTTCACCATCCTGGAACAGTGCTAGGGACAGTCATGCATGCAGTCTACCAGTTGAGCAACTTGTCTGCACAGTGTAGAAACTGGACTCAGTCCAACCCAAAGTTTTCAATGGATATGGTTTCCGTAGGATTAATGGTTATAACCAGTCTTTGGAAATAGGGGTCGAACCCCCTGACCCTGGTCATTTCTTGGACATTTACACCCCCCTTTTATACTGAGACCATAACATACTTTTTTTTATTTCAGTTTGCATTCAAACTGAAGGTTTACATGACAAAGGAGGTTTAGTTGTATTTTTAACTCTGTGAATAGGTAATTTTTTCTCAGCTTTAGAAGGATAATATAGGAACAACTGAAATTTATCTTTTATCTGTGATTGCTTGCTCAGGGAAAATCAATTCCTTATCACTGCTAACCATTTTCAGGACATTTCAAAGAAAATGAGAATCTCCATACTTTAAGTACATAGAAGTACTTAATTCCTCCTTAGTGTGTACATATTAGCCTACACGGAATGTCATATGAGCTTTCAAATGAGTCAAGTAAGTCAGCTCTATAACATGTTTTTATGATTGAGCATTTTATTGAAGCTAACAAAATTTGGACAATGCTACTTCTTGTCTGCAAGAATTCTTACAACATGAATATGTAAATTATTATTCCGTTCTTGAAGACCCGCAAGGACGATCATTAGAATTTTGTCAAAGCCCTGAGGCTTGGAAAGAATTAGATGGCTTTGGCAGTGTGGGCATTAGTTTCCAACTTTCCAAGAACTTGTGCTCAGGAAATAGTTTTGCAAACTTGTTGATGGAGCTGTTGTGAAACAATGAATACTAAATGAACAATGAATACTAACTCCGTTCCATGCTGAAATAATGAATTCTAGAATTTATCAACTGAGAAAATTATGTAAAATTTCTTCGATTGTATTTAAGATTTTTTATTTAATCACAGGCCAGTGTTGAAAAAGATACATATGGCTTTAAATTGAAGCTAATTTACATCTTCATGTCACTCTTACACCGAAAAAAATCAAATTTTCAAATATTTTTTTTTTTCTGTTCTCTTTGTACATCTTCAGATATGTCATTTTTTTAGTATCATTTGTGGAAGATTAATGATTATTATTTTTATGAGTAACATAAATATGCTTTTCATGAGAACTGTCATGTTTGACAGGAAAGTTCAGAGTTTTTTTCCTATTTAACGTTAAGTGTTGGTTACACCCGATTTGCTGTTCCTGTTTAGCCTAATGGCCAGTAATTCCATGACAGTGTGTAGTGGGAGCCGCTCTTCTCCTTGCTCGCCACATGCCTGGATCCCGGTGACAGATTAACGGATATGCATGCTAGTTAGGAAACCATTTACAGAGTTAATGATCAGAGACGTTATAAATGAAGTCTTGGCTCATGCATGTAACCCAGGGGTCATTAACAAACTGGGGGGTAATAAGCTGATTGTCAGGGGTAGGGATGAAAGGAAACATGCATTGGCAGGGGGAGGGAATACCCTTGTTATCTTTCTCCACACGTCCTCCTTAATGTCACACGGATATTGTCAGTGTAGTCAGCTTATCACCAAGTGTGTCTTAATCACTGGTTTGATTAGGATCTTAAAGGGAAGTAGTTATTAAAGCCTGTATTCCATGTTTGTATGCCAATCAAAATATTTATTGGCTGGGGAATATTTTTATGAAAGACTTGAGCTGTTGTGTGGCCTTGGAGAATTGACGTCTGAGAATAAGATTTGTGACTCACTCTCTTAGAATTGGTTATTTATTCTTGAGAACTTTGAATGGTAACAACTCCTAAACTAGACTGGCGTGAGTAATAGTTGATATTGATTTTGTTTAAACTAAATATGTGTAATAACTTGGTCATAAATTGAATTAAGTGCTTTAATGTGGCAGATTAGGCATTAAGACGTATGCGAATTCAAAACGGCAAAGCCAGAGAATAATCTGTCTCAAAGAAACTGCAAAAACAGATTCCATTAGGTGTAAAAGGGAGAAATAGTGCTGAATATAATTAGAATAGAAAATGAATATTTGTAGATGTGAATACTACATATTGTTTGTACTATTTATGGGTCACAATTATGATTAAACACAAGAAATGTATGTGACAGTAAAGAGATTAATGCAGAATGAAATCGATCTAAAACATTCATCCATAAAAGCCTACCAATTCAAATTGCTTTAATGAAAAATATTTAGTTTTTATGTGTTCTATTTTAACTTTCTCCTGTCCTCCCTTGTGAGAAATGTTACTGAAAATTAATTCATGTAACTTATCTATAAGTACCCGAAACAATTCATTTTATATAATATAATAAGTCAAAAACAAAAATGATATTTCTTAATTCCCCTTTGCTGTCTTGGACAACCAGTACCACTGTGTACATTTAATGTCTTCACTTATGTTCTGTGTGATGTTCTCTCCTGTGTGCACTTATTTTCTACTGACATATGTACGACTTTAACATAATTAATAATAATCATAATTTTCTTTATCAACTCAGAAATATAAGACCTTTTATGTACTTTGGACTAGTTTGATCATTTGAATACGATGGCAATGTAGATGTTTCCTTGTCATGGCATTACTAACAGTTGAAGCCAAGCTTTTGTTTCATTGTAAATGTTCTATAACTGTGGAAACCCCTGCCAAATCGCTGATTAACCCATTAAGTACCAATACATGCTTATTAACCCTTCTAATCCTGCTTGCTCATTGTTTCCCAGATGAAGTAGTCCCGTCAACAGGTGGTGAGTTCACACTTTGTACACATTGACTGTCTAGTCACATTGTACTCAAGTCTCTCATTTCTATCCGTGTTATACTTAAGTCAGTGTATCTGTCCACATTATACTCAAGTCTCTCATCTCTAGTCATGCTGCACTTAAGTCAGTGTATCTGTCCATATTGTACTCAAGTCTCTCGTCTCTAGTCATGCTGCACTTAAGTCAGTGTATCTGTCCACATTATACTCAAGTCTCTCATATCTAGTCATGCTGCACTTAAGTCAGTGTATCTGTCCACATTATACTCAAGTCTCTCATCTCTAGTCATGCTGCACTTAAGTCAGTGTATCTGTCCACTTTGTACTCAAGTCTCTCATTTCTATCCATGTTATGCTTACGTCAGTTTATTTTTCCCCATTGTACTCAAGGCTATATCAATGTTGCACTTAAGTCAGTGCATCTATTCTCCTTACACTCAAGTCCCTAATCTAAGTCCATGTTGCACATAAGTCAGTATCTATATCCTCATCACACTCAAGTCTCTTATCCAGTCCATGTTGCACTTAAGTCAGTGTATCTATCCTGATCACACTCAAGTCTCTTATCCAGTCCATGTTGCACTTAAGTCAGTGTATCTATCCTGATCACACTCAAGTCCCTAATCTAAGTCCATGTTGCACATAAGTCAGTATCTATATCCTCATCACACTCAAGTCTCTTATCCAGTCCATGTTGCACTTAAGTCAGTGTATCTATCCTGATCACACTCAAGTCTCTTATCCAGTCCATGTTGCACTTAAGTCAGTATCTATCCTGATCACACTCAAGTCTCTTATCCAGTCCATGTTGCACTTAAGTCAGTGTATCTATCCTGATCACACTCAAGTCTCTTATCCAGTCCATGTTGCACTTAAGTCAGTATCTATATGCTCATCACACTGAAGTCTCTTATCTCAGTCCAATTTACACTTAGTCCCTCCTTAACTTAGGTCTGCTTTATCTATCCACGTGTTTCGTGTATCTAACCATATTGAATACAGAATAGTCTCTATCCATATTCTACTGAAGTCTGTCTATTCTCCTAACTCTGTATCAAATTGCTACATTGTACTTAAGTGTGTGTCATCTATTCACATATCTTCAGTGTTTCTCATCTGTTTCCTGGAGATGACTATTGTCGGATCTATCCACTGTATTTCCAAACTGTCCTGTCATATCTAGCGACATTGCACTGAAGTGTGTCACAACCATCTTTCCACCTTGTGCTTGTATCCCATATGTGCTCATGGTGTCTCACATATCTATTCCTACAACACTTATCTCCATTTTGATGTCTGGAATGCATCATATGTCTTCAATATATATCTGCAATATGTCTGCGTAGACAGTGCACATATGTCAATTAACATAATTTTTATCAACAGCCGCATGCATGAGTTGAATATGACCATGATCTGACCAAATGTAATTTAACCATGTGTTAACCTACAGTGTTTAATAATGTTCCTGTGTGCTACAGCTTAACACTCCCCCCCCCCCCCCACACACACACACACCTCCAATGTTCCATGTCTCCAGTATGTCTGAGTCTGACCCTGATGTAAAGATCAGTGTTTCTGACCCAGATGTGCAGATCAATGTTTCTGATCCTGTTGTGAAGATCAGTGTTTCTGATCCTGTTGTGAAGATAATTGTTTCTGACCCAGATGTGCAGATCAATGTTTCTGACCCTGTTGTGAAGATCAGTGTTTCTGATCCTGTTGTGAAGATAATTGTTTTTGACCCTGATGTGCAGATCAATGTGTCTGACCCTGATGTGCAGATCAATGCTTCTGATGCTGTTGTGAAGATCAGTGTTTCTGATGCTGATATGCAGATCAATGCTTCTGATGTTGTTGTGAAGATCAATGTTTCTGATCCTGATGTGCAGATCAATGTGGCTGACCCTGATGTGCAGATCAATGCTTCTGATGCTGTTGTGAAGATCAGTGTTTCTGATGCTGATGTGCAGATCAATGTTTCTGATGTTGTTGTGAAGATCAGTGTTTCTGATCCTGATGTGCAAAACAATGTTTCTGACCCTGATGTGCAGATCAATGTTTCTGATCCTACTGTTTGTGCTTCCACACTGCCCTAATATATTAACAATGCTCTCTGTCTTGTCTCAAGGGTACTAACATACTGCCTTTTTTGCATTTGATTATATTTACCCATACATTCAAAGTAACTCAATCCCATCATGTTTTTGCCAGCCATGTGGGTTAGAATGGTGTAAGGTGACTAAATCAGTCTGGTGTTCAAGGTCAATGACTTGGTTGATTGTTTGTCATGATACCTCATCAACATTGGACATTGCTCATAATATCAATCACTGGTTTGTCTGGGCTTGACTTGATACCTTATGTATAGCTGGAATATCGCTGAGTGCAGTTAAGCGACTTACAAACAAACAACCTATTTATTCAAAGTCACAATATATATCTACATTGCACTTTTGAGCAAGTCCTGACATGCAATGAAGGATGAAATGTGATGCAGTGTCCTATACTGCGGCTGATACTGCTATAACATTGAGTCATCAATTTCATTAATACCATTTTCAAATGTTTTCAGTGTTGCATTTAAGACATTCTTTTTAAGACTGTTTGATAATTCCTACTGATGTTAATGTACATATACATCAACCCACATTCTCCACCTGAATCTTAAACTGATTACACATGCATGCATTACCAAGGGCGCTGCATGCATTTGCTTTGAGCTTGAAATTATTCTGTGTATGTGATTTTATACAGTTTCTTTCAATGTGAAGGAAATGATCGACAAGGACAAACATATGACATCATTTTTTAAATGTATCACTGGATTTTGATTATTATTGTGTTTCAGGTGAACTTAAAACACATTTTTTATTCTGTTGTATTTATCAGGCATGAACAACAAATTATGCTCATTTATTGATTCAAGGTGTGTGTGTGACAGTTTACCTCTTCTTGTGAACACAGTCAATCTGAATTTAGTATCACAGTTGAAATGTCATTGTCAAAAAAATGTCACTCTTGTAGCTTCCACAGCAATTATATCAGTGGATACGTAAAATTTGTAAAATCAGCAAACGTTCCTTCTGCCATTGCTCAGTTTTGCTTATTCAGCATGATTTGCCTTGCTAAATGAAAGGTAAGTATCTACTTCACCAAATTGCTGTTTTCTATGGATGTAAGCTACTAATCTTTCAAATGTTTTCAGATCAAATAAGACTTGTGATAACATTGCTTGTCCATGGTAAACAATACTTCCCTGGCTTAGGTCACTAATCCCAGTCCCAGGTGGCGGGCAGTGTAATTAGCTCCATTACAGTGCTGGACCTGTACAGTATTACAATGTAGCCTGCTGTATCTGATCCCGGATCTGGTCCTGGACACGCGGACTAGGTCAGGCTCTCGACGCCTCCAGTACTCGCCTCCGTTACTCACCTCCATGTACTGGTGTTGGTTAATGTGTAAAGTACTGTCTGTAGCTAGTGGTCGAAGGTGGCGTACAAGGCTGTGTTGGTCTTTCCAGGATTGTCTGTTCATAGTCAAATGCAATTTGTGGATTGTTTTGAGACATATGTGAGGTGCACTGTTTTTTTGTTTTTCTGATAACTTGGGGTTTAGTTGCTCTTTAAAAGTTTCTTTATTGATGGATGCAAACTTGAAATTATTCATGCAAAAAGACTAAGGAATGGCTCTCAGCCATGGCTGCAATACATTTTCCTTTTCTTCGTCACGTCACATCTGAATACCGTGTTTGTAATTTGTTCTTCTGGGATCTTTCCTTGCTGCCCGGGAATCCTCAGGGAAAAGAAAATCAACAATTTGTTCCCTTCAAAAGATAATAAAAACATGTATGTATATGACCTTTAGCAGAATTACCTTAAGATGCCAGTTGTAAAAATATCTATATTTTTTTTAAAAACAAACATTATATGAAATTGAATAATTCTGTGGCATTTACACAAATTACTGTTTAATATTCATGCATATTCATGAAGTGGTACTCATTTGACAGAAATGAACAGTTATTCAATAGGTCTAGGATTATGTACAAATATCTACCGACCATTATTTCAGCGCTAAGAGATTGGTATCCTCTTAATTCATGTAGCCAGTTGATCCCTGTGACTCATATGAAAGTCTACATACACAAAACGTGGCTGTAACAAACTCAAGTCCTAGTACCGTGACTTTAGTGATAAGCCACACACACCATCATACATAGTAATCCAACATATTCCCCTCTGTACACTTTACAGTAGACTTAATCAATTCCACCAATTACACAGATATGTCTGATAGATGGGACTTGAGAGCCTCAACAAATGGCAGAGAGGATATTTGGTGAAATTTCAGCCACTAACATAGTCTTGGGAAACACTAGGAGGAGGTGTTTACCGAGTTAGTCACAACATGGCGCCAATGTCCAGTAACCTATGGTCATGTTACTTGACTGACCTTCATCTGAGTCATCAGGGATGTAGGAAGTATCTACACTCTTGTAGCACCATGGTGTCTATGGTGTGTTATGGTCAGCGAACTTGTGCTGTGGTGTGTCTTTGTTGTATGGTCAGATAACACAAAGAAACTATATCTTCCGACTCTTAAAATTCTTTGTGAAGTTCTTGTCAATACTGACAATGCTATGTACTTGTAGCATGACATCATTAATGGCGTACTGTGAGATGACACTTTTAAACTATATGTATAAACTCCAGATGTTTTATCTAACACTTAGCCACTTTCTATCAAATACAGTGTGTTTACCAAAGTCTTCTTGCAGGCCATCATGGCACCAATGGTATGATATGATGTCAGTGTAGAATGGTTCCTTGTTCTACATTCTTGTGAAGTGTAGCTATTGTGGGATTCAGTGGAGATATGGATGATCATGTTTGATGGATAGTGTCTTAGTTGGGTCAAGAATGTTCTTAACAATATTAAACTTATATCAAGGCAGCTTTTGTCAGCAGGAGCTTACAAAACATT